AGCATGCAAAGTATGCTTGGAAGAACTCTGTGTATGCTCTGCTCACATTTCGTATTGCAGCAATGGTTTGAGTGTGATTACTGGTCTTTATCGAGGACCTATATACTAAATCACCTTTTATTCATGAGAACTTTATTTTCGCATAATTACGCAAGAAGGTATGCTCTCGAAAATTTCAATCCTGTGTATAATAGAATTCCTTAAGATCATATAGAGTAATAGCCACAATTCATGAAAATTTTGTCTCGCTAATAAAGAGTCAATGACTATCTCGCGAAAATAAGGTGTCGCGAAAATTAAGTGATATACAGTACTTTATGTTCATGTCTTAATGGTAGAAATAATACAATATGTGACTTTATTATGTCATATTATTATGTCATTTTACCCTTTCACTGCTAGGAGGTTTTTACATGGAGCGAAGGCAGTGACATTCTTGGAGACGACAGACTTGATACAGTACATGCTAAACACCGATTGGTTATTCCATTCTCAGCTACCAGCTGTTCATCTTCTGAAAAAGAAAAGTAAAAAAAAATACATTTACAATACAGAACCTACCAAATACAAAAATAGTATAAATGGTGGTTCCATAATTCTGCAAAGGAAAATTTGATCAGGAACAGTGGACATTACACCTTTAACCACACCGACAACCTAGAAGTTAGAACAACAGCTGGTAGGTGAGCATGACTTTCCGTGTGGCAGAATGCAATGTCTCCTTACAACACACATAATTTATTATCCTCTTTGCAATTTATTTGTATCATCAGTTGCAAAACAGTTCCACCCTTCAATAATTAGTTTACGTCTCCAAGTAGATACTTACAAAGGACATGCAAAGTACACACGAAATTTTTGTTTACATAACTGGACCACACAACCGGATGCTTAGTGAAGGAAACTAAAAATAAAACCAATGTCCTACAAGGTTTTTCCGGATTGAATAACGTGGAATGCTGTCAGTATCCTTTCTTCTGTTTACATTTTGAAATGATTATATACTAGTAGTTTAAGTTAATTTAACATTTTATCTGAAGCATTAAAAATTACAATGCAGAGTACAGGGGTAGATATAATTCAATTTGCCACCCTCCCCGACAAACTACTAAACTGTGTACATGCACTTTCAGCCTCTGGGTATTTCCTCAAAATTTGCTTTAGAGGAAGTGTAAAACATTATTAGGCACTATAAAATTGTACATAGGTCTTTCATTTAATGAAACTCTTAAATTATTCAGAAAATTGGGGGGGGGGGAAGCTAGGAATATACCTAAATGCTATATACATGTATATATCTCCGGTACTTTTAATTTATTTATATATGATTACAAACCAACAGGATCGATGATTTATAGTTTAAAAAACAATTTGAATTCTGTTTTTTTTTTTATAATACACTCTTCCAAATAATCATTGGTCAAAATTTACTCCAGGAACTTAGCTTTTATTTCAATTTTGATTGTGATTGTTTCATAATACATATGTACCTTAATTAAACAGCTGTTAAAGAAATAAATTCAAAGATGTCTTTGACAGACTCTATAGACCTCCAATCTTTTTCTATTGTACCGGCCCACTTCAAGATCCACAAGGATGTACACGTCTGTTTTCTGTTTCTTGAAACATTTTTGAAGTCTCTGTTGGCATTTTTCAAAGCTTGAGCGCATAATTTTAATTTTTAAAAAACATATATTTATTCCAGCATCATTTTTTAACTTTGCTTGATTTATTGCGATATCAATTAAAATAATTCCTTGAAATATAAGATTTACACTTAAGTTTACAGATTTCTACATGTAAGTTTGATTTTACAGTAAGATATTGGTCATTACAAATTTTAGTCCATAGAAATTTGTTCAGGACAAATACAATAAGTAAAGAAAAAAAAAATTGTTGTTAAAATATTTTAATCTTCCATTTTATAACTACCGTATTATAAATAATTGCAATAAAAAAAATCATCTCAACATCACATAAAAGTTTCACTTCTTTTCACTAAGTTCGTTAAAATCTGCTCCTCTCCAATAATTTCCATATCCATGGGATATAATAATCCTGTAAAAGGAAAAGAAATATATCTTTAAAATCATAATAACATTTACACAAAGTGATTTTTTTTTTTATTTTCTTACAATAGCCATTTCCTTTTAAAAGAGAGAGAGTAGTGTTGTAAAGTAAATGTTGTCAAGGAAATACAGAAAGTTAGATTGATAAATCTACATGAAAACATGTATTTAAGCAATCTAGAGTTTCATGACAATTTTCTTTTAACTTGGCTTTATGTAAAGCAAACGTGTCTGTTCCTGGCACTTTGCTATCAGCACATTTTATTGTACAGGATAGTTTTCCAATAATTACATTACATGTACCTTTGTGCCATTTAATTCAGTTAGGACCTGAAAAATAGAAACAACCAAGTGTAGAAAAAATAAAATGGCAACAGTCTATAGGTGCTGTTTATAGTATTGGGTGAATCAATCAATCAAAACAAGAGGCCCATGGGCCACATTGCTCACCTGAGTAACTTTTTTTCAAAGTAAAACTTAGATTCCCTATTGTGACCCCATCCCATCCTATCCCAAGGGGTCAAATTTTAAGTATTAAGAATCAACACTATGCAGGGATGCTTCCACATAACTTTCAGCTTTTCTAAACCATTGGTTCTGGAGAAGAAGATTTTTCCCTATATATTTCAGTGTTAAAATTGGATTTCCTATTGTGGTCCTGCCCTACCCCTAGGGGTAATGATTTTAATAATTTAGAGTTTACACTTCCCAAGGATGCTTCCACATAAGTTTCAGCTTTTCAGACCCAGTGGTTCTTGAGAAGAAGATTTTTAAATGACCCTACCCTATTATTGTCATTATCTCCCCATGTAAGGGGACTTGGCATTTCTTTTTAACAATTTAAACTTCCCTTCACCCAAGGATGCGTTGTACCAAGTTTTGTTAAAATTGGCCAAGTGGTTCTTGAGAAGAATTTGAAACTGTGAAAAGTTTACACACAGACGGACAGCTAGATGGACGGACGACAGACAATAGGTGATCAGAAAAGCTCACTTGAGCTTTCAACTCAGATGAGCTAAAAGCTAGTCTCTGTTTTATAATGTTGTCTCTTATGTCAGAGGCCATTTTAAGTTTTTTTCCCCTAAAAAATCTCTTATACTTGTCAGCCATTTCAGCTCATTGGTAGATATATATTAATATCATGAGAAAAAATAATTTAGAGAAACGGAGGCAGAAATAGTTTAAAACATGATCAAGGAGAGTGATTAAATATTTACCTGTAATCAGTAAGACTAGTAGTTTTATAGTGATGTAGAGCCAAAACAGTGAGAAGAATACATTGCCCAGCCTGGGACTGGAATGGTAATGGTAGTACTTCTGCTGTGTCCTGTAGTCGCCCCAGGGATTACCCCTCGGGTTTCCTCGGGATGAGTACTGATGGAATTCTTTATACAAGTCATCATACGCTTGACGTCTCTTTTCTTGGTTTCTTCTGATCATCTCATCATACATTTCCTCCTGTCGACGTTTTTGTTTTACCCAGTCCCTGTAAATGTCCTCTGCACTCTTGGGTGGGGTTCGGCTTTGCTGTCTGTAGTAATTTCTCACAAAATCATCTTCTGAAGAAGATCCTGCACCGCGAGTGTACCTGACAAAATTAAGTTTAAAATCAAGGTATGCAAAAAATGATTTTTTTTCCAAACTAACTTTTATTTTAGTCATGCTGGTAAAAAGAAATTTAGTGAGCAAAATTGAGAAAAAATTCCAACCCTCAACATAACCATATGCATAAATGTGTAATTGTTTTTAATGTATGTAGTAAAGGTACAGCTTCTACAGATACCTGAAACATGTATGTGCACATAAATTAACTTAATTTTATTACATTAATTTTATTCTATGGGAACCTCTGACAGATGTACAGAATAAGAACAGGGGCTTTTTGCATACATGTAAATGGCCTTTTGATAGATCAGAAGATTTTTACTTTTAGTACATAACTGTGATCTCAATGATCTGTAATTTCAGCTACCCGTAATCTGTCCTGTCACCGATACATGCTACACTATCAGGTAATGTACAATGGCTATACTAACAAGTAAAGAACAGTAACTCTGTCAGCTGCATTTACATTTGATACTTATACTGATTTGTAGATCCAGTGTGGTATAAATATGTACTGATGGTATATACATGTTACAATGTAGATCCAGTATGGTATAAATATGTACTGATGGTATATACACATTACAGTATGGGGTACTATAAATATGTACTGATGGTATATACACATTACAGTATGGGGTATAAATATGTACTGATGGTATATACACATTACAGTATGGGGTATAAATATGTACTGATGGTATATACACATTACAGTATGGGGTATAAATATGTACTGATGGTATATACACATTACAGTATGGGGTATAAATATGTACTGATGGTATATACACGTTACAATGTACTCACAGGCTCTGACTGATCATGTTTGACTCACTGTGTACTGTAGGTTTTCCTGTAATGTTGTCTATTTTTGACTCACTGTGTACTGTAGGTTTTCCTGTAATGTTGTCTATTTATCTTCATGTCATACTCAGCTCTCCCTCTGGGGTCATTGAGGACATTGTAAGCTTCTTGTAGCTGGACAAACTTCTGCTGAGCCTGAGGATCTCCAGGATTGGCATCGGGATGATACTGAAACAATGTACAAAATAAGTTAAATTCCTGACTAAGGAGCAATAGTATATAGGAAAATATACAACATTCCAACTAATCAAGAGAGACTCATGGTTACATCATGGACAAGAATTATGACATTTTTAACATACAAACATCAACAATACAGATTCTAACTAGTCAAGACAAAATGTTAAATTCTCGAAAAGATTTATGACATATAAGCACAGTCAAAAACATCTTTTGTGAATTTACCCGGTATACAGGCATTTTTTTCTCCATTTGACAGGAGTGACATAAAACATTTTTTAGCACTGCAGAATAAAAGGCATTGTTGACTAAATCAATATGTGTACAGTCATATTCTTTGTTAAAAAAAATCTCATATAAATCACAAAGCAGGACATATTGTCTATATGTCAGTTGTCATTCTAATTACCTTTTTGCATAGCTCTATATAAGCTGCTCTGATTTCCTTGGCACTGGCCTGTTTCTGGACTCCCAGCACTTCATAGTGGGTTTTTGACAGGGAGGGGGAGTAGTGTCTGACATTTGTAAAGAAAAGCAGGTTTTCAAAAAGCATAAATTTCTTTATATTTTTGAATACTGTATAAAGGGAAATTTTCAACCCAATTTTGATATGGCCCCTTTCGTTCTCTTCATGATTTGGCGATTTTAAATCAAGGCAACTTTAAAGAACAGAGCATAATTTCTGAAAACAAAGTCCAAAAATGTATACTGTTATCTTTTAAACTTATTTCTTTGTTCAACTTATTTACTTTTCCACCAAGATTGTCAAATTGAATGTGCATACAACTTGAGCACCCACAATTATTTCATCATAATTTTGTAACTGAACTTTACAATAAAAATGAACTGGTTCCCCCTTTCATATTCACCTTAAAATAAGCAGCCTACATGAAGAAAGATGTGTATGCAGAGGCCCCTTCACTAAACATGGTGAGTGTAACATAATTTATGTCAACATCTTCACTGGCCTGCAATGAAAAATAATTTTAAAATAACATTACATGCATAACTTACTGTTTATTTTTAAAGTATAAACTGGTACTTCATTTATGCATATACCTCTAAGATAAAACTAGGGGTACTGTGAGCAGTACGCTCACCAAATGATACCCCGCCTCCCATATGAATTTAATATAATAGAATGCGTTCCATGTTTTCACAATGTAGCAAAGTAAACACGGGCGATAACTCGTACTAGTGCATTTACTATGAACAGTCCAGAGAGTTCCGAACGTAAATATGGCGTGTAAATTTGAAGTGAGAAAAAAAACGTTGAGAAAATTAGTTGAATGTTCGTCTTTTTTTAGACTAAACTTTAGGTTTAAATACTTACACAGTCCCAAAAAGGTTTGTTATGATTAATTTGGAAGTTATTTTCAGTGCAAATCCCTTTGTATTCTTCAATATCGTTTCGGAGCAATTCTGCAATTTTTTGCTACATTGCGAGTATATGGGTGGTATTCTAACTGTGTGAGGGCTTGTCCCGAGACACAGTTAGATTATTCTAACTAAATGGCAATATGTAATGAAGATTCTGTGGAAATCTCATAAAATTTAATTCAGTGGTATGAGAGGAGTTGTGGATAAGAGATTGTTACCCAAGTGTAATAGACAGACGGACGGACAGACGGATGCACATCCTGATTACTATATACCCTCCTGCTTTTCAAGCGGGGCGCATAATCAGGAGGCACATATCATGTTGAACTGTTACAGCTATAAGCAAAATACATGTGGAATGTAAATGACAATACTTGCCTTTGATCTCCTGAATTATACAGATACGACCAAATGCCGTATAACATTTTAATGCCCTAAAATCTGAAATACGTTTAGTCGTTCTGCAAAGATAGATACACGTTTGCAAAAGCAAATTATGCAATACGCAAATGTTATGCCTCTGATTACAAGTTACTTGACTTGACACCCACCTGTTATCGTTTCTTTAGCGAGATTTGTTGTCCTTGTGTCAATAAACCAGAATTACTATTCCTTATGGCATGTTTTTCTACAGGAAAAATATATAAAGCGAATGTTTAGTTTACCCAAACCCTTGAACAGTTCAACCCCATAACCAGAAGTAGAAAGTGTAAAGTTAATAACAAAACCCATAACAGTCGAACTTCTTTCCCGGACTGTAAACGATCGACGGAGAGACAGTGATAAACTTGTAAACATTACTGTTTCAAGGTGATTGAATGTACATAAACCGTATTATAAGTCGTTTGGTGGATGCATAATGGACTAAGGTATACATGACTTGATCATTTTAAAGATTAAGAACTGAAATGACCAGATGACAATACACTAAATGGGTACAAGTCAAAACGGCACCTGGTGAAAACGGCACTTAGGAAATATGCAAAACGGCACTTGAGAGTAGTCAAAACGGCACTTTAGAAAAGTCAAAACGGCATTTTTTTATTTTGAGAATTTGCTATTGTTTATACAGAAAATGGATCTTTATATCACATTTATGGTAATAAATGTGCATATTATTATTGGTAAAAATGTGTTTTTTTTTAAAATGACTAATTCTGTAATTCATTTGAAAATTATTATACTTTTGTACAGTGGTTAGATTTTTTAAATGTACTTCTTCTTTAAATTACATGTATCATTTTTATTATATGTCTATTATTTTCTACAAAAGAGATCAAATCCAAATTATATTATTATGATCCTTTGAAATTTAAAAATTAATAGTATTGCAAATATGTATGTGTCACCCTGTTTTGGGGGGTGCCAGTCACAGCTGACTAATTAGAAGCCAGTTGAGTATGTTTACTTAGAATATACTTGTAGGAATAAGAAACATTGTACCATAGTTAGGTGTGATTTCTTTTGTTAAAAGTGTGGGTTTTCTGTACATAACCCACACTTTTCTATAACTCCGCCCATCGAGTCGGGACAAAAGGACTATTTATAAAACGATCGTGCACGGTTTTAAATGAAACATGTTATACCAAATTTAGGAGAGTAAAAAGGAGTAAAAATTTTCAATTGTATACAGCATTTTGTAATAAATAACAGTTAAAAACGGCCATTAATACTTCACATACTTTAGTTAAAAGTGAAGTAAAAACTTCAGAAATCGCTTGAAATAGTGAAATGACCAGGGTGACGTTAGCTAAGTAGATACTAATATATCGTTCTTTTGATAACCAACAAAGGAAACACGGTACATACTTGACGTAAAAGCAAGTGTACACTACTGTACTTAAATAACATTTTCGATTGCGGATCTAGCCGATCAAAGATCTAATTTTCATTAAAATGAAATATACACAACCCCTAACAAAAATTTCAATCAACGTACCACTGTGCACGGCAAAGTTTGTATCAGGTTTACAAAAATTTAAGTTAAACCAAGTTCATAATAAATTTAAATTACTAGTATGTAATTTTGACGATTGAAATTTACGAGAAAAAAAATCATATCAAATTAACATATATCATTGAAACCAAACTCGTTATTTTTTCAATTACATAAATCAAACTTTTTAAACGGGCCTAGATATGTTTCATTTTTATGTCGCTTGCGTGGCCCAGTGGTTAAAGCACCTGCCCTAGAGCCACAAAATAAGGAGTTGAATCCCACTGTGGGACGTGGAGATCTATAAAGTAGAAACAGAGGTCCCGTGTCGCAGAAGGTGTTGACAGGAAGATCCCTTGCTGCTCAATGACCTTGAGTGCCGAGTCTAGGGCAAAATTTGTAGCAAAATTTGAAAAGTATTGTATACAAATCACTTACCCTATATTCAATGGACGTGGTCAGAAAGACACGAAGAAGCGTAAAATCATATAAAATCCAAATGCATCTTTGAAACAAAACCATGAAAACACTTAATGTTACAATCACACGAACCAGTCCGACCGATTCCTAAGCTGACTTACATATGAATGATTTTTGAAAACTATGGTACAAGTCATTTACCCCATATCACACTGTTGGTTATGTGTAGATACCCGATGGGCGTGGTCATAATGACACGAGGGAGCGTATATCACACTGTTGATTATGTGTAGATACCTGTTGGGCGTGGTCATAATGACAGCTCGGGAGCTACGCTCCCTCGTGTCGTTATGACCACGCCCATCGGGTATCTACACATAACCAACAGTATGATATGGGGTAACTACTACAAAGACCATTCACACCTCCCCTTCAATAATCTGCTGATCCTCAATTTGCAATCATATACAGTTACTATTGTGTATTCCTGACAATTTGTCAAAGGGATTGTACACAAGTTAGAAAAACTTTAACATTCCGCTCTAAACTGTACATAAAATCTGAACAGCAATACAATATTTACTATTAAGTTTTTTACAATTTGAAACCTATACACAGAAGAACAAAATCATTTGTTGTTTTTTTTTTAATAATTGAAGAATATCAATTTATTTATATTTAATAATTGATTAAATATTAAGATGATACAATTTGATGTTGATATTGTTACACATAACAATTTCTACAGATGATAACATGATGCTGTTATTGTTTGTAATCTTGTCTTGAAAATAACGTTGTATAAAAACAATGCTGTTACTTCATTTATTAAAAAAAGGAGACTAAAAGATGAAGATACGGATATTTCAAGGAATAAAATGAGGAAAAAATCATTTCAAATTTGGTATTCAAATGTATGAATCTGTGGAGAAAAGTATGTATATGCATAGGTTCATACAGAATTTAATCATATATATATCACTGAGATTTCATTAAAAAAAACTTGTTACAGTGTATAAATGAATTGTTTCCTTGGAAAAAAAGGACCCCCCAGAAAAAATTGTATAATATTATATATGTGGCGGTCAGCCGGGTTCGATCGCCGGTAGCCAGATAGCTCAGTTGGTAGAGCACCTGACCGGAGTTTCAGGGGGCCCGGGTTCGAATCCCGGTCTGGTCCGCTGCATTTTCTCCTCTCCCGTTACATTTGGTGCCGTGCCATGCCCTGGAATTGACAGGTGAAAGACCTGCCAGGGATGAGCCTGGGTTGGGGTCTTTGGAGGGCCAAAGACCTTTAAGGAGGGAGGAATGTGGCGGTCAGCCGGGTTCGATCGCCGGTGGCCAGATAGCTCAGTTGGTAGAGCACCTGACCGGAGTTTCAGGGGGCCCGGGTTCGAATCCCGGTCTGGTCCGCTGCATTTTCTCCTCTCCCGTTACATATATATACTCACACACAAATATATATCAATATATACTAGTATATCAAATTATCATTGCATATATACTTTTTTCTATAAGTGCCGTTTTGACCAAGTGCCGTTTTCACTAAGTGCCGTTTTGACCAAGTGCCGTTTTGCATAATCCAGGTGCCGTTTTCACTAGGTGCCGTTTTCACCAGGTACCGTTTGAACCATAATTCCACTAAATGGGGTGCGTCGATTTACCCAAAAGGACCCAAAAGGAACCCAAAAAGACTAAAAAAGAATATATATTAACATAAATTTCCATTGTTGCAACTTTTCTTTAAAGCCATATATGGCGTAACTGATCAAAAAAATATATTTTTGAAAAATACAAAATTAAGTAAAGAAAAATAGTTACGGTAATGCATTTAAATTAAAGCTTTTCATACAATTCTGAACACAAAGAACACCTCGTTTCATCTAATAATACAATTTTATCTTCTCTGTAATATGTTATTTAAATCTTTTGTATTTTCTTCCGAGTCGGAGAAAATTCCGAGAATCCAAATTAAATTGTGATATCTTTATAACGCAATTGACTTAGATTTTGTAATTTACGGAAAAAGGTCTATCTTTATATAAAGTAAAGTAATGATACAAATAATAAGTTCTTATAATTTTAGTCTAATAATTTTCATTGTACATACGCCATATATGGCTTTAAGAAATTACATACGCCTTATATCTAGTGTTGTCACGATGACCGATTTATAATCGATGATCGGTCGGAAAGGCTGTCGATTTTAGACGATCGATTGGAGATTTTAACAATCGATTAATTGGTATATTTCAGCACATATCCTTTTTTTTTTTTTTTTTTTTTTTTACAGTTTGCTCACTTTTATTTCAAGAACAGACTCTTGTTATCAAAATATATATCTTTCAAGAGTTGTCCTTTACTATTTTAAAATACATGTACATACTTAAAATCTGTTTAAAATAAATCAAAAGATAATGATATTTGTATTTCTAAACTTAAGAAACTAAACTACTTGTATAAATAAAATATATTAATTTTCAGTATTTGGGGGAATTCAACTTGTCATTTGATACGGAATCACAAGGATTTGCCATATTAAATGTCTTATAACAGTTTAAAAAATTAATTCCATATACATTTTAGATGATCATGTAAATTAAAACCTGATCTACCAATGCTTACTTTTCCCAGTCCAAGTAATTTCTAATCATGCAAAAATCTGTATTACTGAAATTGTTAATCAAACTGCATATATTTACTGTTTTTAGAATTTCAATCTGTACAATTAATGCACCTTTACTTACATTATTTAACAATAAAATTCTAAATTTTATAAAATCTATTGCCTATTTTATGCAAAGGGTTACCGATTCGATTATTAGCCGATGATCAGTTGGTTAAGGTCAACCAATGCTACCGATTAATCGATTCTGATTTTCAACCGATTTGACAACACTACTTATATCATGTATCATGTCAAACACCAAATCTGATCAGATATGCTTTGTTGTATTTTTGCTGAAAATAACAAAGTATTTATATATTATATTTCTAATACTACACGATTTTTGATGAAGAAATTATTTTTATTTTTTGACTTGTTCTTGGCATATGGTAGCACGGGTGGGTGGGGTTGGGGATCCCCCCCCCCCCAAAAAAAAAAATAAAAAAAAAATTGTTTATCTTTAATAAAATATCAAAGTGTTCACTGAATATCCATTTATTCTCTTTATTTCAAGTCCTTTTGGGCAGTTTTTAATTTCCTTTTGGGTCCTTTTGGGTAAATCAACGCAATTCATACGAAATGCATTAATTTCAGCGAGATGTCGTAGGGATCGACTGAAAAGTGTACGTCAGACCAAAATTTTTAGTCTCTTAAACGATATCTCGCTGAGATTATAAATGCATTACTCAAGTGATATTGCTCTCTGTCAGTCTGATTAAAGCCAGTCCCCTTCTCCTTTCTCGATGAGTGAAAGGAAATCGATCAGAAGCAGGGGCTGCATGGTTTTAATCAGACTAGTACTGGCTCTCTGAGTGACTCAATGTTAACTTGACATAGACAGAGACTGTGATAGGGCCTTTGACCTTTGAGGTGTATGCAGTAACAAATCAATCAGACGTGTATGATGCTGTCACTTTCAGGAATATCCCATTGGTCACTGAACATACTAAAGTTACAGGTGCTCATCCAGCATGAAAAAGTTCCCTAATTACAATACTTATTAGATGTAAATTTGCAGCCCTCCTGCATGTAGCTGGCAAGTAGTGGTGTCCAACATGAAGGATAGCTTAATTATGCTAGATTAATTAGATCTGGTCCCCGGGTAGGCTTGTATTTGTAACAGGAGAGGAGAGAATTTAATTAATGCAGTGGACAAGACCAGGATTCAAATTCAGGGGGCCCAGGTTTGAATCCTGGTCTGGTCTGGCCACCAGAGAAACCCAGCTGACTACCACATTCCTCCCTTCTTAATGGCCCCCATAGACACTGACCCAGGCTCATCCCTTGCAGGTCTCTCACCTATCAGTTTCCTGGCATGGCACAGCACCAAATATAACGGGAGAGGAGAAAATGCAGTGGACCAGACCAGAATTCGAACCTGAGCCCCCTGAAACTCCAGTCAGGTGCTCTTCCGACTGAGCTTTCTGGCAATCAAACCCGACTAATTGCTACATATATTATTGCTTGTACATGTGCCTAGTCAGTAATAGTGATGTAGTTATAAATTCTAAATGATTTCTTTAGAACTGTGTATTTTAATAGGGTTTTAATTTTTTTTGCTGCAGGTTATAAATTGTTGATATGTATAATGCTGGACCAAAGTGATGTTTGCTGAGTCTACATGTTCATTACCATACAAGATATTTCACAGAGTTTCTCCTAGCCAGCTTTGCTTTCTGAGGTATGCATTGAATCATTTTCTTACTCAAGGATGAGCTAAAAGCTATGAGAGTTGAATCCTGGTGTTTTGCGCAAAATAAAATCCTGAAGTTCATTAACTTTAAATTATGTACAATAATTCTGAAACTTCATAAAAATTGTTACAAAGATAGATAACATAGTTGGTTCAGTAAATGTTCAACCAAGCCTCTTTCTTTAAAGTGCAATCATTCTTTATCCTTGTAAATTAGATAGCTGGACTTAAATTGTTCTTGCTGTCAGATCTAATTTACCAGTATTTGAAAAAAATATTAAATTATCTAACTGGGTCAAGTTCAAGGCAGAGGCATATTAGCTCATTGTCACAAAACACAGCCTTTAAATGCAAAATCCTCTGAGTCTCCCAGTTAGAAGGAGAGAGAGAGCTATGAGCCTAATCCAGACTGTGGCTTTAGATGCATGATTTATCTATGTGCTGATATGTGTGTATATAGCTCTCTTGAATGGACTGCTGTTTGAAATGTATAAATATTCTGAAACATCTTTTGTTTTTAAGGAAATGTTCATCACTGGAATCACAAAATCATTACCAGATTCTGGGGATAGATCAAATGGCGGATAACAAAGAAATAAGGAAAGCTTACATTGCAAAATGTAAAAAGGTACAGTTCTCACACACAATGCAGGATTAAAGGAAGCTAGAAAATTTTAAGAAGCATTGACCTTGACCCCTTTGTGAATTTTCCAGTTTCATCCAGATGCCAATCCGGGTGACTCCCAGGCCCAGCAGAAGTTCATCCGTTTACGGGAAGCCTACAGTGTACTGAGTAACCCCGCGGAAAGGGTCAGCTACGATGTCCGCTTCTACACCCGAACAAAGTATTAACTCTTGGTTACTGAAGCTTGCTCTTTGTTATATCCCTGTGGAATTTTGACTCATGCAGACTTCTTTTATCACAGACTTTCAAGAAAAGAATGAATGGGCTTAAAGTCCTATTTTGAGTCTTTTTTTTTTTACAGTTCCTCTACCACACTTTAAATAAAGTTAATTCCAAACAATGCAATAGCAAGATGACATACACTTTCTTTTATCTTTCTCATCAACTTTATACTTTAAATGGTTACCTATATATTCTTGCAATTCCATGTGTTAGTGAATGTTTTGATTATTAATTTTTTTGAAGTCACAGGACTTCTACCAATCGAAGACATCATCACACAGAGCACCAGGCAAGGCATAGACCTGAGGACATCTACAGACAATGGACAAACCATGCCAGACAACAGGAGGAAACGTACGGACAGTGGGCCGAACACCAGAGAAAGTATGGGGAGTGGATCAAACAGAATCAGTGGGATGGACAGCAGAGAAAGTATGGGGAGTGGATCAAAGAGGATAAAGGTAGACAGAATTCAAACCAAGAACGCGGAGAATATTATAATGAAGCCTACTATCATCAGAAGTATTACGACATGCAGGGGCCCTTTGGCTGTCTTGTGGATTCTTTCTTTGGGAATAAAGACTCAAAGCAGGCATCATTTCATGAGATTTTCCTGTTGTTTACGTTGATTAATATTTTCACCATCTTGGGATGTGCTTCTGGGATATACCTGATTAAGGATATCACAGAAAGTGCCAGAAAATGGCAGCAAGGTAAGTGGTACAACTTTTAAAATGGACCATTTACATTAATGTATACCTATCTATGATATATACATCCGGCAATATCATATAGCAATTTCAATAAAGGTGAGCAGAAGATAATCAACTTGAAAAGAAAACAATTAAGATAAATCAATATTAGAGTTATCTTCCATATGATGCCAGGTTAAACTTCCATAACACATGATTAAATGAATAATTATTGAAAATGTCATAAAGTTTATATTTCCTTTTTTCAGTGAAGAAATAATAACTCCTAATAGCTGTGGTGTGACTGTGAGGTACAAATATTTGATTCATTTGATGTAAGGTCTCAAAAGATTTTTTAAGGAGTCAAGAGAACAAGTCCAATACAATTTTGACGATGAAGTCAAATAATTTATAATCTGTCTAACACTAGTTAAGTTTTGTGTCCATTTAGTGTGCAGCAACAGGGCAACTTTTTTCATGAATCCTATTGTTAAGTAATTACTGTTGAATGTTTATGGATTTTTTGGGGGGTCCCTGCTACCCACAAATTTACATCCCCATAAAAGTTCATTAAGTAAGCATGATGATTCATTGAATCTATTGTATAAAAGAGTAACCCACAAAAATATGTCCCCAATGACAAGTAAAATTTTGATTGAACATTTGACCCCCGCAAATTAAAACAATTCCAAAGTACATAACCAGTGAATAAAACTCCTAATCCAGTGATGATAATTAATTTTTTTTATAAATTCTCCTATGAAATAGCACTTTAGTATTAAAACAATTAATATAGAATATTGGGGATATATTTTTTTTTTTTAATTATGATTCCGATTTCTTTATTAGAAAAAGACTTACAATGTACTCAAACAATTACATTTGAAAGGGGAGAAAATAAAAGTTTTTTTTTTATTTTCAGTGGCAGTCAACATATTTAATGATGGAGCATGGAATACTCTGAATCTGGTAATATACTTTATACAAGAACACTATACTTTGACAGTATGTATATGTTGTGTGCTAAAGAAGGCACATAAGACTTTCATATACAAGTGTATGAAGCATAATGAACACTGACTTTCTAACAATCACACTATGTAAATTTTTTAAGAATGTAAATTTTTATATAGTTTTAACAGTAATCTTTCAATGTTATGCATTTTTGTTAAATTATTCTTACATATGTTAAGTTTTTGTTGATTCCCTCACTGATAATAAAATTGTCAAAAACAATCTTGACTTTTCATTGAAAATTCAAAAAGGAATGACTATAAGACAAGCCATAGTCAAATTGCAAAATTCCAAGTTCTATCAGAATGCAAAAGCCAGATCTGTATTTGATCAGAAACATTTGGTTAACTGGTTAGCTAAGATGTTACACTTTTTTTTAAAAAAGGTTCTTCAACTGTGCTTAACTTGGGCCATGGCCTCTACAGAAAGAAAAAATTTAGAACAATGACTTTTTTTTATTTCTTCAAAACTTATAACAAATTTTACGTATCACAGTTAACAACTGAAATTTTCATGCAAATAACACTCAACAACAAAATGCAGAGTAATGTACCTCTCTGACACAATCAAAGGCATATCTGTGTCAAACAACAATTTTGTACTTTGTCCTAAAGAAAGTAAAACAGATTGAAATAATTCTTGCACAAGAAAAACAAACTTAAGTATGAATTTAAAATATAAGTGCAATCACCTTTCCAAGAGGTCACTTAATTTTAAATTTCTTTTAGACATCCAACATTTTCCCCAAAAATATCAGCATTTACCCTTAATTATTCATGAACATAATATTTATTGTTAAAAAAAGCCCCCCTCTCCTGAAAAAAAAGCAAACAAAGAAAACTGTTTAGAACTTTCTGTAATGAATATATAAAAAGTACACAAGTATGAACAGGCCAGCCACTTTCCCTAGAGCAGTAATAAGGAACAAGTCCGCCACTGTTAATTTATTCATGTAGTAGAAAGCTCTGGCCTTTATTTCTTCATGAGGATTGAACCCTCCTTGCCCCGCCCATTGCCTGGGGTCGTCCTGTGGATTGAATCCTCCCCATTGTCCGGGGTCGTCTCTGTGACTGTTGTGGTTCCGATTCTGTTGTTGATGCGCGTTAGGACCGGACTGATTTCTACTTTTCCGAATCCAGTCTTCGTACATCTCCTGGTGCTGTTTATAGTACCTCTGTATGACTTCCTGTTCTGACATGTGTTCTGTACTGTGAGTCCTGAAGGTTAATTACAATTGTTTTAATTTTGGTTGTAAACGTGTCATTTGATTGGGTAAAATAGCCTATATGCTGTGACCCATGTTGACTACATCATGACTTGCATCAAAAAGGTATCAGATGATATATTTTAAAATATACAGTTTGATGGCATTTTGAAGGAGAAATTGATTTATTTTCTATATTTTAAAAAATTTATAAGGAATACCGGTAAATTTAATAGCTATCCAAGTTATACAGGTATGACCTGGGTTGAAACAGATGAGCGATAGAAACATGAATACAAATATCAGTATTTTTAGTTACGTACGTTGTATAACTTTTGTTGACCTTGGCCCTTGACTGTAAATCTTTGTACATTTGAACGTCATAACTGGTTCTTTCTTTGGGGTCACTTAAAACGTTGTATGCTTCTCGAAGTCGGATAAATTTCTGCTGAGCTTGTGCATCACCTGGATTCGCATCTGGATGCAACTGAATATAAATATAAGAGTCATTTTATTTCAACAAAATAAAAATAAATTTCAAAAAAAACTCATGAAATGCATTTCATTTTAAAGAAACAAAATTATACGGTTGTCCTCATTTCAACCATTTTGTCTCAAGTTAAAGAGAGCACATTATTGACAGATTCTCTAAAAATTCATAATTAATTTAGTATGTAACATTTTTTTTTATCGCTTACTTTTTTACTCATAGAAATATACGCTTGTTTGATTTCTTTAGTATTGGCTTGTCTTCCCACTCCTAAGATGTCATAATGTGTCAGGGAGGCTGCCGTGGAATACCTACAACAAACAATTACAGGGTATTCATATTTATTGGCAGATTAAAACTCACGTTTAATATTTATATGGAACATGTCATTTTTTCTTTTAAAAATTAGATTGAACACAAAACGAAAAAAAAAATAATGGCAAAAATACTTTAAATGTGTCCATATAAATTGTGAACAAATATAATAAGTAGTCGGCATCTGCCATCAACAAACTTGGAGTTTTGAAACAAAATATAATATGCTTAGTAAACTTGTACATATTGTCTCAAATGCAACAATGTCATTCACATTTTGCTAATGGAATTTAGTTCAAATACTGATGTACCTTTGAAAACAGTTCTTGTTCAAAGATGTCACCTGCCCTTTCACAGAAAATTTTAATATCCAAAAGAAACACATAGTTCTGATTCTTTGCACATGGCTACTTTCCTAAAAATATTAAGACAAAAAAAATCGACTATGTAAATAAATAAACAGTTGGATTTTTAACACATAAAATGCACCGATTTATGATGCAGATCATATACATACTTATTTTAAACTAGGACAACTTTCATCAACTACAGTATCAATGTGTTATACAAAATGACATTAAATAAATGGTGTCATCAAAGACCGTTGTATGAATTGTCCTTATTGAACAATTGACAGCCATTTACCGAATACTGTATCCGACAATACCTTTCAATTCTCTCTCAATTCAACAGACACGACAGTGACTACTAACAGGGACATTTCACTGTGGGTCAAACCGGAAGCAATAATGTGTGAACAATAAATACCGGTGAAGACGCTTTAATTCCGGAAAGTGACATTCGAAATGAAACCTTTGCACGAGTTCTGTATTCCCAAGCAAGAAGCCCGTAACTTTATGGCTTTATACATGAAACAAATGTCAACAATGAAAAATAATGTGTGCTTCTAATGCGTTTGAAGCGATCTGACGTTTCTGTCTAAATTATTCCTGTAAGTGTAACACTCCCACCACCCCGAATCATTTCTACTACTCAATGGCATATCTTTCTTTATTGCTGTAATAGACTCTAATCAATAAATAGATAAATGTTCTTTATTTTTTAAGCTGTTAAGGTGGTTTACTCCCTTTCTGCAAACGAGTTGGGCCAATTATTACTTTTTCTAAATTCCCACTTGAAATGGAATTAATGCTTCCATAATTTCTTTAGTTTCAAACTAATTATAAAATTATAAGATTTACTAACATTAGAAGCCCATTTGAATGCACATTGTTGTATTCCTGGTCCATTCATCTTTCACATCTCAATTTTCATCTTTTATTAAACATTATTGTACCTCTACTGATTTTTTCCTAGATAAAAGTTGGGCAGTAAAATGTGCATAATTCCCAAGAAATCTCTTTGAATGGACTAATCCCAGTGCGTTAATCAAATGAGCCAATCCCTGCTTCGGTAGCAAATTCCCTGGTTATCCATAATCCTCTAGATTTTACTTTTGTATCAGTCTAATATGTTAATGGACTAATCCCCATGTGTTAGTGCGGAATCTTTTTTCTACAAAACAGTGTTCTCAGAACTCTCTTGATCTCTCTCTCTATCACTCTCTCTCGATCCATCTCTTTCTTGATTTCTCTATCAATCTCTTGATCTCTCTATAACTCTCTCTTGATCTCTCTCTCTCTGTCACTCTCTCTCTCTCTCTCTCTCTCGATCTCTCTATCACTCTCTCTTGATCTTGATCTCGATTGATCGATCGACTCCCCCAGTACCTGATCTTGCAAATTATCAATACATGTATAACTCTTAGCTGTTGGAAGAAACTTACACATAAACTTTTGAGTCTGATTACTTTTCATTATCTTCAAATTTCTATTACCTTGGATAGAAAAATGCCATTTGATGATATTTAAGTATTCACAATCCAACAATTTTCTCGCTTTTATTTGATGTGAAACTAACATTAATCTATGAAAAGTACATGTATAGTACCCATAAACATGTATGCATATAATTAAGATTAGCAAACAATACAGTACATTAATTGATTCTTTCTGCTGCCTCTTTTCATTTAAGACATAAACTTTGTTTTGCAAGACTTATTTTCTCAATTTAAATGTATCATATATTTAAAGTCACAAAACCTGTTTAATGCATATACTGACAAGAAAGCATTTAAACAAAACTAGATATGACTGATTATCTGTACTAAATGATACTGTGAAATAATCACAACAGATACAGAATATGAGGTTTGCTAGCTGTCAAATCATCAAAACCTCCTCAAACCGCCTTCAATCAAAAAGACTGTACATGTATGTGTAAGATCTTCATAAGATCTGGATTCACAATTGTGTACCATTACTGTGTACATGTACAACATATCACTTGAAAGATATAGTGTACAGTACGTCACTTGACAGATATTGTGTACAGAATGTCACTTTACAGTGATTTTGGCCGCATTCTTGTCCGACACGGTATACTCGTCCCATTTTTTCTCTGGATCATACGGTTCCCATCGACTTGCTGGAAATATGTGCTTGTTCCTTTCGTACCAGGTTCTGAGACAGACTTTCCCGGCGTGTGATTCGTCCTTCTCCACTGAAGCATCACTAAGCAGCCTCACGTCGTCATGAACGTCAAAACTGAACAGTGGACCACTTTTACCCCGAGCCTTGGTAACAATAAAATCATAGAATGTGTAATGATGGGGAATGATTAGGTCCTCTTTGACGTACATTAACTGGTCGACGGAGACAACTTTGAGGTCGTTAAATTCCCGTCGGAGTGTCTCTAGACACTTCTGTAGGAACTGCTGGATGCTGTTGCCCTTCTTCATCCTGGCCTGCCGTCTGTGTCCCGACCCATCCCAGTAACTGTACGTTATGTCAATCTCTTCATTCTTCATTCTCTCCTGCTTTTCCTCCCATTCCTGGCGAAGCTGTTCCCTGAAAAATGTAAACATGTTTATAGAAATTTTCTAATAAACTCTGACAAGTATCTCTACTTAAAGTAGAAAATAAGCATTAAGAATTGAATCTAACAAATAGATTTATTCAACTGATCAACTGGAACTGTTAACTACCCTAAAACAACTTTGATTAAAATAACAATATCATTGTGTATGTAACATTCATATGGGATATAAACACACAATGAGGAGGAATAGGCCGGATTTTTCCTTTCAATTGTAGATCATTTAGATAAGCTATAATTATAGAAAGCTGATACCTGAGCTGTTTAGATAAGATAATTATAGTCTAGACAGCTTATACCTGAGCTTGTTTAAATAATTAAAGACAGCTGATACCTGAGCTTGTTTAGATAATTATAGACAGCTTATATCTGAGCTTGTTTTCATAAGCTAATTATAATTATATACAGCTTAGGCTTGAGCTAGTTTAGATAAGCTTATTATAGATTACTGATACCTGAGCTTGTTTAGATAAGCTAATAATAGACGACTGATACCTTAGCTTGTTTTCCTCTTCTTCTCTGTCACGATCTGGCAGGAAACTCGTATCTACGTCAGGATTCTTTCCTGTAAAAATTTTTATCCAAAGTAAGTATGCTTTTAACTGTATGATGTTGGTGATTAAAATAATGTGAGATTGCCAATTCAATGTTGTTTCTAAAGAGTATCAACAAAGTCTGTTAAGAACCAAATTCAAATTTAGGGAGAAAATGGTGTGATAAGTACCAAGCCTTCGTTTCTTTTTTATGTCCTCCTCTACTTCTTTTTCTATTTCCTCATCCTCTTCCTCCTCTTCCTCTTCATCGGGATCAAAGGAGAGACTGGCAATCTGAAAATTATGTTATGATTTTGTAAAAGTGCATGTCGTCTTACAAGAATTAAATGCAGGTTTAGCATATGAATAGCTATTCCTAAATGTTTACCATAACTGCCTACCATTAGGAGTTGCAACCCACTACATCTTTGTATTGGTTGCACCAGAAGGAGATGAATTTTGATTAACATTGATGCAATGATTTCAATGCAAATTTAAGAAAAGGAACCTGTTTTTCTTTACCTTCTGTTGTTCTTTTTTCTTCTTTCTCTCCTTCTCTTTCTCTATGAGTCGGGCCTGAGCATCTTTCTTGGCTAACTGTGACTGTCGTTTTTTAATCACATCTTCCTGCTTTGCTTTCATTTCATCCAGTGTTACAAGACCTAACATCAAATCATTTTAGCATTGTAACTTACTCATAAATGTAATACATGTAGTTATAAAAGAAAAAAAAACACATTTAATTAATGTCTTACTTTCTGAACATTCACAGTGAGACATTCCACATAACCAATAAACAATGTTCAATGTTATTTGTACATTTAAACTCAGCATCTTTTTTACTTAATTTTACTTCTTGGAAGCACAATAGCCATGACATTGTGACTTACCTATGGTATTAATCTTGAACTGTTGTTCCACTGTGATATGACTTACCTATGGTATTAATCTTGAGCTGTTGTTCCACTGTCATATGACTTACCTATGGTATTAGATTTGAGCTGTTGTTCCACTGTCATATGACTTACCTATGGTATTAGACTTGAGCTGTTGTTCCACTGTCATATGACTTACCTATGGTATTAATCTTGAGCTGTTGTTCCACTGTCGTATGACTTACCTATGGTATTAGATTTGAGCTGTTGTTCCACTGCGTCATAATGAGAAGCAAACTTATTCTGTATGCTCCCGATCTTCAGTTCGTCCTCGATCTTACGTTTCCGAGTCTCTATCTCCTCTTGTTCTTTCTGACGTTTTTTCATTAAAATCTGGGCTCTTCCTCCTTCTGATGCTGCCCCCTTGTAATGTGCCATTTTTCTTCTTCACACAATCTCTCACTCTATTAAATACAATACATACAGTAAAACTCGTTTAGTACGAACATGGATATCGCGATTTCACGGATATAGCGAAGTCATCTTGGATCCCAAGCTATTCAAATTTACTGAATTTCTTATATGGTTATAACGAATTACCGATATAGCGAAGTAATTTCAGAGGTCCCAGCGACTTCGTTATAACCGAGTTTTGCTGTACTGTGTTACACAAAGAAATTCTGGAAGACTGGTTTAATATGAGATTTCCTCTGAT